ACAGAGACCTGAAGATCAATTTCTGATTGAGTGCACACCCAAATGTAATCTGCACACTAAAGCTCTGTGCCTGAGGCTGGCAGTGAATGTGGATTTGAATTGAAGGCGATATTGATTGAGCATGTCTCATATCTGTTCTGTAGATTATCTCCAAGCCTGAAGATAATTTGCAGGAAATGAGATGCACTATTGCAATGAGGAAACTGAAGTAGAGAGTTGATGCACTGACATAACCATATTTGATCCCACTTTTCACTGAGGAATGTTTGCGTGGTTCTATTGGCAGGGATCATGACTCTCATTTGGTCATGGAGTAGATGGAGGATAGTGACAAATTTCTGAAGACAGCCACAGTTGAGCAGGATGTCCCAAACACTTCGTGGTTGAGAGTGCCAGGTATATGTGAGGTTGGAAAGAAAACATGTAAAGCGTTTGGTGGATGGTTCTATTTTCTTGAGCTTGCCATTAAGTGAAGATCATGTCTGTAGTGTCCTTCAATGGGCAAAAGCAATAATTATTGCGGAACGCTGCTGTGAAGAGCTCATTGGGGAAGATCCTTGCAATCATTTTCCTTGTGGCGGGCAGCAGGGAGGCTCTTCTGTGTTTACCTGAATCAAACTTGTCACCCTTCTCAGATAAAGTCATGATCACAGCATCCCTGAGATTTTGCAGCATACACTCCTTCTCTTGGAAGAGTGATATATGATAAAAATCTACATCTTGTGCCAGCATAAGTCCTAGTTTATTATCAAGAGAATGGTTGGGATGATTTTTAGTTAAAGCAGAAGATTATGATTCAAATACTGAACCAGAAAAAGTAGTTGGAAAAGAATCTATAATTGCTTTTAAAAAGGGGAGAGGTAAATTTGAAACGAAAATTGAAAATGTGCAGTAGGGATGGAGAAGGCAATGAGACAAAGTGATGAACTCTTTCTGAGAACTAGCACAGGCATAATAGGCTGAAAAGTCTCTTGCCATTTATGCACAACAAAATTTGTTTTTATTGAAGTGCCTTTCATTGCAACTCTAATTCAAAACATTCCATTCAGGAATGTTGAAGAAAAGAAGAGATTACTGCTTGTATCATGTTTAGCCGTCAATGAAATGTATTCTGCTTGCAAAATAAATCTAGCTTCCTAACATCATGGACGCACAGCATTCTGATTTGGCTGTTTTTTGTTTTTTTTTAAGACCATGTACCAGAGGAACTTCGAGAACCATTTTACACAGACCAGTACGAACAGGAACACATTAAGCCACCTGTTGTCAACTTGCTTCTTTCTGCTGAGCTGTACTGTCGTGCTGGGAGCCTGATCTTGAAGAGTGACGCTGCCAAACCACTGCTGGGTCATGATGCAGTTGTACAGGCTCTCGCACAGAAAGGTCTTTATGTCACAGAACAGGAGAAGCTAGTGACAGAGAGAGATCTTCGCAAGAAACCTATTCAAATGGTGAGTGTTTGAAAGAAATTAACATGCATTTGAGATGCTATTATAAAAATAGAAATGCTCTTCAAATGTTCTTTACACTTCTTTCATTGAGCCTTGTAGTTTAACCTTTACAGAATCCCTACAGTGTGAAAACAGGCCATTCTGCCCAAGTCCACACTGACTCCCTGAAGAGCATCCCACCCAGACCAATCCCCCTACACTGCATTTCCTATGGCTAATCCACATCCCTGAATGCTATGGGTAATATAGTGTGGCCAATTCACCTAATCTGCACATCTTTGGATTGAGAGAGGAAACCGGAGCATTTGGAGGAAACCCACGCAGACACCGAGAATGTGCAGGCTCCACACAGACAGTCACCTGAGGCTGGAATTGAACTCGGTCCCTGGCACTGAGACAGCAGTGCTAACTGCTGAGCCACCGTGCTGCCCCAGTGATACACAGGATGATATGACAGACAGGATTATATGACGCAGGAAATTTTTTAAGTTACTGAGTATTGGACATATCAGAAACAGTCTAATCCATTTTGATAACACCCGTGAGCAAAAAAGATGATTTATTCATGTACATGTATTAAGATTATATGTGTAATATTTTTGTGTTCTGAATTTAAATCTGCTTTAATTTGTATAGTCTATCACTCTTTAACATCTTATTTGCAGCTTGCAACCATTTGAGTTCAATCAGTTTGTCAGAAAGTACCTTAAAAATCTGACTCAAGCGAAGAAGAGCCCTGTGTTTTTTTATGACAGGGTTGAAAGGTCCAGTGCTCCATTTTGCCATTTCAAATGATCATTTTAATGAAAAGCATCACTGTACTATAAATCAAAGTGGTGTAGTCACACCAGGTTATAAATACGATCTGTGACTCAATGAACAGGTTTTATGCTTGCAACTATTATTTTGAATGTAACTGAGCTGATCAATTATTTTGTGTTTGAGTTTGCTTGAAATTTATTCATCGATAGAATGATAGGAAATGAATTTTAAAAGTGACAAGTTAAAGTTAGGTATATTTTAATTTTAATTTCTTTTCTATTGATGGATAAAAATCAGCTCATTTAATTATTTTGTTTGTAAATGGTGCATTCTAATAGAAACATTTGGAAGTTTGATAAGTATTTGGTTTTGAAATACTGAAATTTCATCTTGCAGCTCCTAATTACTCAAATATCTTTTAACGTGTTCTTCACATTTATGGTTTGCAAGACCCTAAAATAAGAGATTATTCAAATGATTGACCTACGACTGCATTTCAGATCTTCATACAGGAATTGTGTGGTTGCAAATTCCAACTCCTTGCAGCTGAAAAGGTTAAGACTATGGAGAATGCCCTATAATTACAGTCAACTGGATAAGAGCTGTGATGTTGGGGAGGGAGGATCCTGGTTTCAGAGTGGGAAATCTGGCAGAATGGGTTTCTCCAGGGTCCTGCTAACTTTAACAGTAGAAACTTGTTTTTAGTTGGTGGCCTTCCCCTGAGGACTGGAGAATTCAGCTGGCTCAGGGTAATTTTTAAATGGTGATTAAGTATAAGCTTACAGCAGCTTTGTATTATTTAAATTGCCTAAACTTCAGCAGTGAGTTAGCTGCCCACATACTAGACCCCTGAGTTAAAACTGGAACCGGTGAATTGGAGGTAGGTTAAGGTTGAGATTCAGATTTTCCACATTTTAACACCAGTCCCAAACCAAATCTGACTGCTTTTGGAAGTTCAGGTTAGCGCCATTGCCTCTGTGTCCATGTATAAGCTAAAGAAACTTGAATGTGAAAACTTTTGACGCAATGAGAGACAAGTGGAGGGGCGAATTTTCACCAAGGAATTGGGAACTGGGAAAAGAGAGCCAGGAACTTGCCCAAATTGTCCCTGCATTGTTTTGACCCAGTGGGCTCGAGCACAATTAAGTCAGGCCTGCTACCTCCTGAGAAAGATTGGAGACAGATGAGTCTAAGGCAGGCTGCTTAGAATGTCCACTTTGGTTCATTGAGACTTTGGCAAAGTTTTACAACAGGCTGTTAGGCCCTCACCCTTCCCAACCCCACCACTATCTTCCACATCCTGTTATACACTAATGTCAGTTGCATGCTTCCATCCCACCACCTGGCATTTCCATGTCACTTTGCAAACCCCCAATGCCACTTTTAAAGTTACTCACCAGTATCCAATTTAGAAGGGAACTCATGGGCTACATAGAGAGTAAAAATCTTTGACAATCTAATAGATCCCTCACTAATATATACTTGTTTCTGAGGGAAAAAAATTCTCATGAATGAAACTTCTTTAAATGATTTTAAATCCTCTCAAGCGGTCAATGTATTTTTTAAAAAATAACATTTTAAGATACGCTTATTTTATTCACTAACCTCAAAGACAACTAATCCTTCAATAGCCTCTTAAAACTCAATCAAAATAAGAGGTCATCTCCCTCATTAAGACCAATGTTTTTGGCATTTTTGAAGATCAGCTGAACATTAAAATAGGCTCATGTAGTGAAAGCCCTTGGGAAATGTCAACAATAAAGGCCATTTAAATTCCAATGAGAGATGGTAATGTTTATATTAAAATGACACCAGATGGCCTTTCCAAAAATGCATGCCAACAGTGTGTTTTGTTTTAATTTGACAGTTACAACTTTTTTCATGCTAAAAGAGCTAGTTTTTAAATACCTTTAGGTCATGGCACATTTACCTGTCCTCTGGTTAAGACCTCTTATGTTTGCACCATCAACTCGTTTAAGACCCTCAGAACTGGGGAAAATTGGTCATTTTTGAACTTGACACTCATTTCATGTGGCCCTGCTGAGTTTTGGTTTCCCATCCATGTGATTCTCAGACTGCAGTCTTCTCCTTGCTGTCAAAAGTGGGACTTGCCAGAAATAGGAGTGAGGTGTCTGCATCTGGGTCCCTCCGCCACTACTGCTATTGAAGGTTTCCAAAGTCGCCTCACTCTGTGAAAGTTCAACCTACAGTTTTTGTTCTTTTAATCCAGAGCTTGTGTGTTTACTGATCCTGGCAGCCTCTTTTGTATGCTCTTGACAGTCAGCCTGCTAGTTGGCAGAAACTCAGATTTGAAATGGAGGCCTACAACATAATAAACATCCTCCCATTAATATGTCAGAAGGATTAACATGTTCATTGCTCGTAGTTAATAAGCTGATGCCTCCACAGAAAATAAGTCAACTTTGTATTTTGTCACCTGATCCAATTTAGACCAATTAGACATTGGTCGTGTAATTGTGCTACTGGAGTATTGTTCCATGTGTTGAATGCAATTCTTTTTTCCTCCTGTTCTAACTGAGGTATTAAACTGTTTAGTTTAACTAATTTACCATTCAATTAAAATAGCAACAGAAGGAATTCGCTTGTATCCTGTATGATGGTTTCAAGGCTGTTCTGTATCCCAAGTGCAGTCATGGGAGGGAGGTGAAGAAAGCTATGGACGAGCTGTTGCCAAGGAGAGATATGGTGCTGATAAATGAAGAGCTGTGGATGTGTCAGAACCTAAACATATTACACTGATTACTGTTGTAATAGAAGGTTGAAAATGGTTGAGAGTTTGATTGATCCTTTCTGTGTGCTCTAGTTGTAGAAGTGACAGTGTAATGAGGTATTCCTGGTCTTTTTTCTATTAGAGTTTCAGTTTGTGAAAGGAACACAAAATGAGTCTTTGCTTATCATTCTACAACAATCTAAACTTGCTTTATCAGTAACATCCAGTGCTGAAAACTTTAAAATTATGTTTTGTCTTACAGGTAATGATGATATTGGTGTTGATTGTTCAACCTTTGTTGTAATGATGTAGTGACAAGAGTGTAGTTGACTGTTCTAACTCACAAAAAATGCATTTTTGAAGCAGAAGTTAACATTCTATTTGCTTGATTGATTCTTAATATAATTTACTAGAATATCCAGCAAAAACTTTCCTTTCTATTGTCATTGGTTCTCATTGTTTTTTGTCTCAACAGCAAGCGTTCCTAACTGTAGCACAGAAATTGCTGTTGTCATTATTAGCAGCTGAAGGCTTAGTACATTTGGATACTATTTTTTTCACTATTTTAGCTCATCTTCTGTGTATCAATCTTAGGGATCAGCTGCTTCTGCTTCTGGTAAAATAAGGAACAATACTGAAGTTTGTATGTGTATTTGCTGATGTAATTTCTCCACGTGCATTAGTTCATTACAGAGCTGGCAGGAGTTAATGACCTGATTCTGGGTAAGAGAGCACTTTACCAGATCTCTCTTGTATGTTACAGGTTGGAAGTGAATGTATTGCCATTGAAACAGAAAAAGCTAATAACAATTCTATCATCCTTGTAAAGAAAGTGAAACTATCACAGAAAAAAATAACAATCCAGGGCCCAGTAGCAGTTGCTCGGGTGTCTCCACTCAACATCAGTCTTCAGAATCAAAAGCGAATTGCTTTCATTGAAGAAACAAAGACCGAGAGGAGACATTTCGAGACCAATGGACTGAGTATGATGAACCACAGCAATGTGATTGACCCTTAACTGCCTTCTGGACAATTAAGGATGGTCAATAACTGCTGGTCTAGTGAGGAATGCCCACATCTGTGAATGAATAAAAAGAAAAGGGTCATCTAGCTTGAACTGTGAAAGGACAGGAAGCATAAAAAGATCTGAGGTTAAGTGATTCTGACTTGAGTGAAACCCAATATTAGAAGAAAGCCTATCTGTAAACAAATTTCTGTAGTAATAGTGCCTAAGCTGAATGCAGCTTTAATTTACTTACTTAAAATCAGAATTTCAAAATTGTTTGAATGGAGTAGCTTTGAGTTAATATTAGCACTATTATCACAGTGGCACTGAAAAATGTGATGTTTAAGTTTTCCTCTGTTTTTGCTTTCTATCCTTGAAACATGACAAATGATTTGTGTAGAAAAGTTATTTTGCATCACTATTAAACAAACCAAACCAACTAACTTAAATGAGCAGAGGCCGAGGACTACAGTACCTGGTGTGTCCTAGATGTTTCAGTGC